CTTTGCGCTCTTTGAAGTATGAGTTGGTTTTTAAATATGTTAATTGCGTTTTCCGTTATTTTTATGTAATACGTACTGTCAGTTTCTGCACTGTGTACCGTATCTATGTCGTCATCATTGAACATTTCATTTATATTTACTTCCGCCGTGTTATTATTTTCATAGTTTAGTCTGCTTAGGCCATCCGCAATTACATTTTCTTTTCCCTTTATATAGTTGATATCGAAATCGAACTCATTTAACTTAATTTTCCATCTTTGGAGTTTAGCATTTGGTTCTTTTAAGTTGCTCAGCCAAATTAATGGTCTATGGTCTGTTTTGATAGTGAAATGTCGGCCAAATAAGTAAAGACGAAAATATTTCGTTGCCCAAACTATTGCGAGTAACTCTTTTTCCATTGTACTATAGTTTTTTTCATGTCCGTTTAGTAATCTACTTACATAAGAGATAACTTTATCGGCTTGCAGTAATGCCGCTCCTAAAGCAAAGTTGCTGACATCTGTCACTAGTGTGAAAGCTTTATTGAAGTCTGGGTGGATTAAAATTGGATCTGATTTTATTAGCTCTTTTAGTTTATTAAATGCTTTTATATAGTCTTTATCATTATGATTTATTTTCATATCTTTCTTTAAATATTTGATAATGTGATGCGCCACTTTCGAGTAATCCTTAATAAATCTCCTGTAATATCCCGTAATTCCTAAAAATGCTGTAATCTCCTTAACGTTTTTTGGAAGTAGAATCTTTTCTATTGCTTCCACTTTCTCCGGGTTGGGTTTAATTCCTTCTTTTGTAATCATGTGGCCTAGGAACTTTGCCTCTCGCCTTAGAAAATTGCAGTTATTTATTTGTATTTTTAGGTTCTTCTCTTTTAATCTAATTAGAATTTTATTCAGTGATTCCAAATGTTCTTCTATACTTGTAGAAAATATTAGGATGTCATCCATGTATACGATGCAAATTTTTCCAATATAATCTTTTAAAACTTCGTTCATTAGCTTTTGGAATGTTGCCGGTGCATTCCGTAATCCAAAGGGCATTCTTAAAAATTCGTAATGCCCGTTTGCAGTGGAGAACGCCGTCTTGTATATGTCGCGCTCGTCCATTTCAATTTGATGGAAACCTTTAGCTAAATCGAGAGTTGAGAAATATTGGCATCTGCCCAATTTGTCAAATATATCGTCTATATTTGGAATTGGAAATCTGTCCTCCGTAGTTACGCTGTTCAACTTCCTATAGTCGATTACAAGACGCCATTTTTGTTCATTAGTTGCGTCCAGCTTCTTTGGAAGCAGCCAAATAGGGCTGTTGTAAGGACTAGAGGATGCTCTGATTATGCCTTGAGTTAACATTTGGTCTATTTGCTTTTCTATTTCCGGTTTGTGGATTTCTGGATATCGGTAAATTTTAAAGTAAACCGGAATGTCATTCTTGGTCATTATTCTATGTTTCGTTGTACTAGTAAATGTTAAATTATCATCTTCATTATAAAATACGCTCTTATGTCTTTTAAGAATATTTCTGAGTTTATTTTTGTCTATACCGTTAAGGTGATTAGTGTCAACGAATTCTGTGACACATTTATCTCTTACATCGTTATTGAAGATTTCCACTTCATTTTCTTTATAACTTATTCTGTTGTATATTTCTTCTTCTTCTGTTAGATAGAAATTTATTGTTGCTTTATTTGTTTTTAAAATTCTGTTCGGGTAGTCTATTATGCAGTTAAATTTCGTTAAAATATTGTTACCTATGAGTCCGTCGAAGTTTTTGTTGAAGTTACATTCAAGAAATTCCTATATGAAATCTTTTTCTTTGAATTCTTTGAAAATTGGGACTCTGCAAAGTTTCTTAACTTGCATTGTTCTTCCCAGTGCTGTGAGTTGTACATTTATTTCGCTCTTCCATTTGGGGTCACAAACGTGCTCATTGGTCAAACTGAACTCTGCTCCAGTGTCAATGATGAAATGTAGTTTGCGTACATGTGTGTTTATTACTATATAGGGTAGTTGTTTCTTGTATCCCTCCGAAAATTTAATGCTCTGTTTCCAATATCCCATTATTTGCGAAAAATTTTATATATAACTCTTGGAATTGTAAAAATAATTTGTCATCTGGGCAGTAAACTACTACTAGTCCTTTTTCAGGTAAATTTTCTCGCATTAATTTTAAAATGTCGCTTTCAGGTGTCACATTTATTGTATTTCTTATTTTCATCTTATATAATATTCTTTTTGTTATTGTTTGTCTTTGCGCTCTTTGAAGTATGAGTTGATTTTTAAATATGTTAATTGCGTTTTCCGTTATTTTTATGTAATACGTACTGTCAGTTTCTGCACTGTGTACCGTATCTATGACGTCATCATTGAACATTTCATTTATATTTACTTCCGCCGTGTTATTATTTTCATAATTTAGTCTGCTTAGGCCATCCACAATTACATTTTCTTTTCCCTTTATATAGTTGATATCGAAATCGAACTCATTTAACTTAATTTTCCATCTTTGGAGTTTNCTATTTGGGTTTGGATCTTTCCTTGTTTGCCCAAGTGCTGTAAAGGTTTGATGTCGAGCTTCTAAGACGATTTTGTACGCTTTATCTAGATTATCAGGGTTTCTTGCTATAATCATTGTTTTTGTAGGCTCTGGAAGATGTTCTTTGAATGCTTGTAGCGCTATTCTGTTGACTTCTTCCGTTGAAAAGCTCAAGTCATTATGCGCCAATATTCTATTATGTAGTTTGTTCCTAATTTTGTTAATTCTAAAGAGCTAGTTTTCTATTGTGGAATCGAGTCTGGTGGTCTTCAGCTCGTCCATGAGTTCCGTTGAACTCCTCTTTTCCCCGCAGTTGCTCAAAAGTATTGGTTTCAGTGTTTCCCAGTCATTGATTTGTCCGTATCTATGAATTATTTCCCTAGTTTTTCCTACACATCTTCCTTTCAAGTAATTAAACAATATTCTTTGATTGTTTTCATCGAAGATTGTTATTGTGGGTAGTATGTCTTCGACCTGTCTAATAAAGTCCGTCAATTGGTTTGGGTCGCGTCCGTCAAATTCTGCAATTCCATTAATGCAGTTTAGGGTAAGTTGAAAGTGTGATATAACATTTGCCTCCATTTTTAAATAAAATAAGACATGCTCTTATGCATTTATTTGCTAGCTTGAATAAATTCTATGAAATACGCTTATGGAATAAAATATGCTCTTATGCATAATTTGGACATGTCAATATATGACTATGTGACTATATGCGGACAAAAAAGAAAGAGGCTCGAAAATTCTACGAGAAGATACAACGACTTACAGAGGGTTTCAAGAGCGGAGCAGACTCTTGAAGGACACGAAGATGTGATCTAGCCACTGATGACCAGAGTATATTGAATTTATGGAGGGAACACTTCTCCAACCTGCTGAATAGTAGGGTAATTAGAGAATCCAGAAATTGTGAACCCGTACCCCAATCGATGACAATGAAAAAGACGTTCCATTACCTGACCATGAAAAAGTTCGAATAGCAATCACCCGCTTAGAAAACAACAAATCGGCGGGAACCTGGCAGGCCGTCAAGAACTATTCAAACATGGCAGTGAAGAGCTCGCAAAGTGCATGCATCGGTTGGAATTTGTGTGTGCTCTGCCCAATCTATAAAAAAGGGGGCCGCACAGTCTGGGATAAGCCTCCTTTTTATCGCCTATAAGGTCCTGTCGAGCATATTGTTTGAAAGACAAAAACCCACCGTCAACAAACTATTTGGACCTTATCGGTGTTCAGACCATGCGGCAAATCAGGGAAAAGATTCATGAAAAGAGAATCGACACCCACTACCTCTTCGTAGATTTTAAAGTCGTCTTCGACAGCACGAAAAGGAGCTGGCTTTACGCCGCTATGTCTGTATTTGGTATCCCCTCAAACCTTATACGGCTGTGTTAGCTGACACTAGACAACAACAGAAGCACAGTCAGAATTGGGAAGGACCTCTCCATGCCGTTCGATACCAAACGAGGTTTCAGACAGGGTGACTATTTGTCGTGTGATTTCGCCATTTTATTCCTGGAGAGATTAATAAGAGCTGAATAGAGAAGGCACAATCTTCTATAAGAGTGTACAATTACTGGCGTACGTCGATGCCATTGACATTATCGGCCTCAACAACCGCGCCGTTAGTTCTGCTTTCTCCAGGCTTGATATACAAGCGAAGCGAATGGGTCTGATAGTGAACGAGGACAAAACAAAATATCTCCTGTGATCAAACAAACAGTCATTGCATGACGGCACTGTTGGCAGTCATAACTTTGAAGTCGTAGATAATTTCGTCTAGAAACCAGCATTTACACCAATAATAACGCCAGTCTTGAAATCCAACGCAGAATAACTCTTGCCTAAAGGTACTACTTTGGACTGAGTAGGCAATTAAAAAATGAAGTCCTCTCCCGACGAACGAAAACCACACTCTACAAGTCCCTCATCGTTACCGTCCATTTATATGATGCGGAAGCATGGACAATAACAGTAACTGATGAGACGGTGATAGGAGTTTTCAAGAGAAAGGTTTTGCGTAGGATTTATGGCTCTTTGCGTGTTGGCAACGTCGGAAGCAGAGGAAGAAGAGGACCTCCACTCCATTGAGAATACCAGGTAGAGAAGGATCTGGCTGTACTTTGTATTTCCAAGTGGCGCCAAACAGCAAAAAGAAGAAACGAATGACGCACTGTTGTAAAGCGGCTATAATCGTGTAAGCGGTGTCTACGCCAGTAAAGTACATACAATAGGTAAGTATAGATGATACAACTAAATACAATAAAAACAGAAAAATTCAAAAGCCTTATTAATTTAAACACAAAAAAAGTTCCAATACTAGATGGTGTTTCTGTGGGTGTCGTTTTAAAAATAAGAAGGCATAAAGCTTTTTATGGGAAAAAACAAGCCTGGACGAAAGCCAATTTTGAACGCCACACAGAAAAGACCCATGCTTAGGCAGATAAAGTTTAATGTGTATAAAAATGCGGGCCAAATCAGGTGTGATCTTTTCCATAGTGATAGAATAAATGTAACAAAGGAAGCTACCAAGGAAAAATTGCGGGAAAACGGATTGCGCAGACGAGTCAAAGTAAAAAAACTCTATTGACAAAATTAAGGCTCCAATTTGCAAAAAAATGATTTAACCTGCACCCAAAATTACTGGATCAGAGTTTTATGGACGGACGAAACAGAAATAAACTGGCTGGGAACATATGGGCGGCAATAGATTTGGAGAAAACCTCGTGAATTTTTAACTAGCCGCATTGTTCAACCAACGTTGAGCTTCAGAGAGGATAATGAAATGATGTGGGGATATATGGGACTGAAGGGGGTCAGAGAGTGTGTAAGGATTACCGGACGAAAGGATGCTAACCAATATGTTGATAGCCTTCAACAAGTTTTGTGCATACAGAATTTTTTAAGTTTTTCATGAGAAGCTTTTAACTTCATGTTAGAAGTAAACTCGGATGGAATAACTGGTGCGTCCACAATTAGAAAAATTTGTATCTGTAATTTCGTTTTTCTAGGATTTGAACTTATAACCATCCATATGGTATCACACACTTACTACTTCTATTAAACTCCATTTATATTGATAACCAGCAAAAAAGCATTCGTTTTTATATTTATAATATATTCTTTATTCGGAAAATGAGCTTTTAACTTTTTGGTTTTTAATATGTTTCTGCTATGCTATATAATAATTTTTGATATAAGTATTAAGTAAACTAAAGGTCTAGTTTGTTTGTATGGATTGACTATTTTTTTTTATACAACAAAGAAAAATGGTAGTTTTATATATATTTTTTTATTGTATTAAAATCTATTGTGTTGGAATAATTAGGAAAAATAGTCTTTTTTTGGGTTTGGCGTAACAGTAATCTACTTCATAATTACATAATCACTTCTATAATATTTTTTTTATTTGATATCCTAATAATAATAATAAGCCACACAAATACCCTCCACTCGCCCAAGCGAAATTTGGTAATTATGGAATTTTAAAATTCAATTGTTGAGAGAAGCACGAATAGTTTTTTTTATGCTAAGAAGTGAGTCTGAGAGATCGCAGGTGCTGAAATGAAAAATAAAATTGTTTTTACCTGGCTTTAATAGTATCCGCTGAAGTGATACTCCGCCGAGCTCCTCCTCCAATTTGTGGTTTTGCGTCTTGATGGTTTCCTACAGTTTGTACTAAGCCGCCTTCGAACGGCTGATGGTTTTTTATGAGGAGCTTTATTTCATGGCAGAAATACACTCGGAGGAGTTGACATTCCATGAATTAAGGTTTACCTTTCTACAAATAATACGCCTAACATTTCTCTAAGACTTGCAAGAGTAGGTAGATTTAAAAGCTTTAAACGGTTGGTATATGGAGGAAGATTTATCGTAGAGTTCATATATGACATAAAAAATTTTACATCATCGGTATATAACAAGATATTTGAATGCTTTTTACCGAAGATATATCATTTATGAATAATTGAAACAGAATGATGCCGAGATGGCTACCTTGAAGAACTCCTGAAGAGACATTAATTAATTGTGATAAAGTGTCTTTAAACGTTGGGTTCTATTGGAGAGATACGAAGAAAGCCCTTTAAGAAATCTAGGTTGAAATCCGAGAAAATCCAGTTTATGGATGAGTAATTAGCCCTATCGAGTTCTTAACTGAATTCGGTGTAGACAACGTTAACGACAATGACGTTTGCTTATTATCTCTAAAGGCTTTAGAGATATGTAACACAAATTTAAGCAAATCTGTAAGTGTTGTTTTTTCTGTACAAAACCCGTGTTGTTAATTCGATAGTAAGTAGTGAGGAGGTCGAAAACGTTATCTGAATAGTAATGATTGCCTAAAAAGCTTTGGTATAGCGGTTTTTTTTTTCAATAACTCTATAATTCTCAATATTAGACCTATAACCACTCTTATGTAAGGGTACTATAAAAGACTGCTTCCGTTTTGAAGGGAACACACCTTGTTTGAGAGAGAAAATAAGAAGTTGAGTTAAGACAAATACAGATTTTTTGCACAAATTTTTAGAAAGTCAAGTCAAAGATTTATCATATCAAATCTTTATCAGAAATAATTGGTGAGTTGATTCCGGTTGTTATACGTAAGTAATGCTGACAGGCGGACAAGGCGCTTCGAAGGTTAGTGGAATAGTTTGATTTTAAGAATTGCGGGAATATATTGGAAATACATAGACTGTCACTTAACATAGTAGAAATGCATTTCATGACGGACGTAAAGGTGGAAAGTTTACGTTTGAAGTTAACAAAAACGTTGAACAGCTTTGAATTGTGAAAAAAATTTCTTAACGTTAGTTATGTAATCATTAATACATTTTTTTTTGTTAAGTTCAAGAAAATTTAAAGTTAAAATACACGTAAATACAAGTAATGGAAGGGAAAGTCACTTTTCTTTAAAGTCTTTAAAGCTTTAACCTTCTATTCTTTAACATAACATACATCCTTTGTAAACCACGAATTAACAGGTTTTATTTTAAACACAGGCTTTTTAGGTGCACATTTTTCAAAAAGAGAAATAATGGTACTATTAAAATTTAAGCGACTTGCTTATTATGATATTATCAGTATAACTTGGCCAAGTAGTTTTAGAAAGCTGCTGATTCAATATTTTAAAATTAGTTTTCGCAGAGTTGAATCGAAAACACTTTTAAATAAAGAAGCATGCTGCATGTCCAATCAGGAAGGTATGTACATGAGATAGTGCTATAAACATACAATGATGAAGCAAGATAGTTCAACTTTAACACTTTTTTTTACCACTTATGAGAATTTTAAGAAATTTTAAAAAAATGCTATACAGAGGAGCACTTTTTTCACTTCAATTCATTTTATTATCTTTTCTGTTGAAATAATATTAACTATAAATGAAAAAAGTACTAATTTTCATCAAACAAAAGTGTTGACACAATTAAATTTCACTTTTCCAAAAGTCCCGTTATGTCTACTTAAGCAAATGGGTTTTTTTTTAAATCAAACTGAAAACGTCATAGTGCCTTCAATTATAGTAGACTTTGCGTATTTTTCAGAAAAATGAGTGGCAAGAAAAACGAAACCAACGTATCTCAGGGGAAAATAATATGCAGAAAATGGTGAAATGATAGACAGAAACCGCTACACCATAAGAAGCATTGTGAAACGACGTGAGGGGGTTTCGTCTTCACAAAACGCAACACGTACAGGCAAGCCTAAGTCTTCAAACGACCGCGAATGCTGCCAAATAGTAAAAAAGGCAAAGAAAGCCCAAATTTAACTTTCACACAAATCGCAGCGGAAGTTAAGGAAAAGCCGGGAGAAGAAATTCATCCGATAACGAGCATAAAGTTAAAACTCATTCTCGTGTAGCTAGACACATACCCCTAATTTCAAAAGTGAACCAAAAGATACGTTTAGCCTTTGCTTAGTGGCAATGGACTCTTCTCAAATGAAAATAAATTCAATATCTTTCAAACTGATGGCCTTCAAACTGTGTGGAGAAAACCTGACACTGAACTTCAAACAGAGAACCTTTCTGCGACTATATATGGGGCTGCAAGTCCGCTGCAGGTGTGGTCGAGCTGGAATTCATTGACGGTGTTATGGACAAAAAATACTATATGGAAATTCTTAAGGGGGATGTCAAAAAAAGTGCCGAAAATCTTAAATTGCTGCAGTCATTTACATTTCAGTACGACAATGATACTGTTGATGATGTACGTATGTGGCTTGCACACCAAATTAAACATACACTGTCGCATCCGAACTAATCGCCTGATCCAGTTGAACATTTGTAGGATGAGCTGGATATTCGCGTTTATAAACGCGCTGTATCATCAAAAGAAGATTAGAAGCTTAGTGAAAATGAGTACTTTTTTCGTTTAGTATAAGTTTAACATAAATTGCAACAAAATGAATTGAAGGTGAAATAGTTGAAAATATGTCCCTCTGTCTAGCATTTTTTTTCTGGGAACTAAAACTATTTTTATAAGTGGTCAAAAATCGGTGTAGAAGTTGAACTATCTTGCTTTAGTTCAACACTGTATGTATAACTACTAGCGGAAAGCACTCGTATGTATCTAAATTTCATGGAATAACCAGGAACAATAACTTCTTCAGAGGGAATTGTAGAATGAGCGAAGAGTGGAACATCACCTCCGATTCTGTTTAATCGATCAGTTCTATAAATTTGATACCCACTACAATATCGTCGGACGAACGTATAACTCTTTTTCGTTTGTAAGAAGTGCGCTTAACATCTTCTAGAGATTCGTACAAACTTAATAAATCTACTTTAGTCGATCTACATGACTGACACGACCACCCTACACCTTTGTCATCACTAATAAACATAATAAATCACAACAATTCTCCCAGTCAATCCAGAACATCTTTGATAAGTCAGCCCATCACAAAGCCAACGAACTACAAAGGGCTCATACTCACCTTTAATAGCACATTTAGGGAATGAACAAGATATAGTAAAAACAATAATAAAAAAGAAATAATAAGAATAAATAAACAAAAAATCAAAATTATAGACAAGAAAATATTACAGACAGAATGAAAACAAACAGTTTTCAAGCTCAAGAAAATGTAAACATGAATTTAGGCGCTATGTAGCGAACAATTTTAACTGCATGGATTTTGACAATTAAAAAACAGCACATAGAATATAAACAAACCCAAAAAATAAATCAAATGGAAATGTGCATCCACAACAACATAAATTATAGATGAAATGACTCAGTACAAAAAATATTAAAACCTAATGCTCAAACAAATCACTTGCAGCAAAAATTTTTAATAAAATAAGTAAGCACGAAAAAGATTTTCAATAAAATTCTAAGAGCGTATCGGTAAAACAACTTCACAGCTCACGCAAGTGTTTGCTATACCTACGAGGTGTGACAATTAAGTTATGAGACTGATTATATTGCCGCGGTTGTGGTAATCCCTTTCTCTTCTCCCGGCATCCTTCTCCTCTCCAT